AGAATAAAATTCTTTATTTAAATTATTAAGAATATTTTCCATTAATTCGGGCATATCGCCCATAAATATTTTTGATGGCATGAATTTTGTGTTGTAAGAAGGATCTAAGCCCCGATTGTACACGTACGTACGTACGTCGTACATATTTATATTTTAGGTTGCGCACCCCTAAAATTTATTACCCCGCAATTTTTGACCAATAAAAATTAAGATCAGCGTAACGTGACAGTCAAAAAAAAGTTGCGTGTAAAAGTAGGTCATATAAAGTTAATTAATGGTTTTCATAACCCGGTCGGGCCAGCTTTTGTAAATTTTCGGTACAAAATTTTATAAGTTATTAACTATAAATACTTCCAAGTGGATTTTAATAAAAATTTTTATACGTTTTTAATATTTTCTAGACAAGAAAACTTATAAAATTTTTACGATTTAAAAATTAAAAGCCGGGCGAGCGGGTCACTTTTAGAATTCTATGTTATGAGAACGATTATATAATTTTGTATGGCTTTAGTTAGATTTAAAATTAGTACAAGGTTGTGCTGGAAATTTTCACGGTCAAATAGGTGAAGCTTCTCTTGAACCAAATGCCACCTCAAATGAAGAATACATTCCCTTTATAAAATGTTTCATTCAAAAATCTGGATATCAAATTGCATGCGTTTAAGAATTTTTTTTTAAGATATATGAAAAAAGAATCAACAAGTGGAAAGTTCTTTACATTCTAAGTAAAAAAAGACTAATTTTAATATTTCTAATCTTAATTTTTCCCACCAGCTCCTATTGGACGAAAGCAAATATTGTTTCCCATTGACGAACCAAATTACATCACTGATCAGGGTGGTTAAAAATTTCAAATAATTATTTTTATCACTGAATACTGTCTTGTTCTTTTGAATTTAGTGCTTTTTTTTTAATCTATTAGTAAATAATCTTGATTGAACGATTAAACAATTTTACCAATTAATTTTTGTTTGAGAATAAAGTAAAACTCTTCTTTCGCGCCTTCCACCATTAGGGTTGGATAGAGTTTGGTGGTGTAGTGTGTTGATTTGGATTAATTCTAGTGTAGTTGATATCCGTGAGGCCGTATTTTGAGTTTACAGATCGATTTAGCCCCTCACAATGTACGTACAGTACGAACGTAATTGTAATTTTAGGCTGCGCACCCTAAAAATTATTCTTCCCCAATAATTTTTTGATCAATTTAAAACAAGATCAGTTGTAACATGACAGTTAAACCAAAAAATTGCATGTAAAATTAGAATTAAGAATAGAAATGTTACATTTATTAGTAAAAAATTTTACAAGAAAGCATTTTGATTAGACTGCATAAGGTGGTTTCTGAATTAAATTTTTATATCTATTCTTGTTTTTTTTTTTTTTATGTTATTTCGTTCTAACTTTTGCATTACGTTGGATATAGTGATTTATGACCGTTCACACCTTTTTGAAAACCTTTACAATTTATTTAACTTTTTTTCACACGTAGGTTATATGAGAATTGTCATCGTAAGAGAATAGAGGATGTGCGCTTAAAGAACTGCATTGTAATTAATGATTTTCCAGATGAAGTTATTTTTGCAATAACGAAAATGTTGACGATTAACGAAATTACTGACGATTATCGAAGCTCTTAACGAATTATTTTACCGACAAAATATGAATATAAAGTGTCTTTTTAAAACAGGTACGACCTCTGAATATTCTAAATTAAGTTCTTTAAGTTACAGTACAGCCATTTCATTATAAAGTTTACCGAACCATATAAAGCACGGTAATTTTTAATTGACAATTAAATTAATTTTTAACTTTACATTTCATTGAATCTGAAGCCGGTAAAAAAATAAAAACTGGGTAGATATGACGAAAAGTAATTTTATTAACTTTACATGGACTAATTATTTTTACATATTATGTATGAAAAAATATCAATAGTCTTGTGCTTCATCAGTCGTCATAAGTTTGTTATTTGTTATAGTTTTTGTTTAATTAATCCATCTTATTGCTTGTCGAAAGATTCCGTCATTAATAAAAATTTTTAATATATTTATAAAACATTATTAATTTATACTCCTTTATACCTAATAAATTCGATATTAAAATGGTATCTATTAGCTAGTAAAGTCCTAAGGTTTGTGAGTTGCGAATAATCTATTATGTTTAGGGCCGCCCTGCATTTGAGATTTGAGTCGATTTTATTATATTTTAGATACTGACTTTTTAACTACATTGAAAATAGTACATATAAAATTGCATAAAAATTTTTGGACCACAGATAAAAGGAATTTATAGAAATTAGCAATCAACAGTAATACATCCATTAGGTGTCAATGTAACATATGAATCAACTTCCTTTCTTATATTTTCATCTAATTTTGAATATATGCATACACCCAAGTAATTCAAAGTTTTGTTTCGTTTACAGAATTCGATTATCGCCTTGGCATTTTTCTCATTACCAATCTCATAAATTATCAGCTTTTTTAGAGGTGCATTACAATGATTGAGCAAAATATCTATATATGGTATTAGCCAATGATTATTCCATAAGTCAAGATATTGCAATGTTAACGGCAATATTTCTGCAAATT